ATTCTATTTATTTATTAGGTTAAAGTATATATATTCAGTTATGTATTTTAGAATTTTCGATAATAATATACTCTAATATATTCATATATTTTATACTTTTTGTTTTTTTTACGTATTTTTTAAACTTTTTCTTATTATTTTTGAAATTTTTTTCGTTTTTTCTTTTTATTTTTCATCAATTTGATAAAAAATTTTGTGTTAAAATACGAATGATTTATGTATGAATTTTGTATTAATTTTCTTGTGAATATATGTATTTTTTGTTGTATAAATATGTAAAAATGTATTAGTTTTTATAACTATTTTGCAGTAAACTTTGAATAAGTGAATTAATTAGTTTATTAAATTGTGAATATAGTATTTAAGTTGTTAATCAATGATTTTATATACAGATCTGATTTGGAAGGAATGATGGTTGCGATGGTGACACATGTAGTTTTCAGTATTGTAAAATTCGCCGAGTTGGCCGATTACTCCTCCGAGTACTCGCTACTCGGCCCCTTACCGAGGCAAGTTACAGAATCTCGAGTACTTCCTGATTGGCTCATTCCTGATATGAATAATGTTGTAAAGCTCAGTCAACTTGGTGATTAATATGTATAATATACTGAATGATTTATTATTTAACATACACATATGATTATTACTACATATATATCTTAAATTTCAGTAATTACTCACGAAGTGAGACCATTATTTGTTTTTCTGTTGTTGTGTATTCACATTTATCTACTTTTTTATATATTTCAATCAAATTATGGTTTTAACTTTTGATTTTGACATATATAATTTCCCTAAAAATATCCTGAGTACTCGTTACTCGGTAATCGGCCGAACATGTACCGAGTAACGAGTTCTACAACCTTGGTAGTGTTAGTGACGTGTGGTAGTAGTTGGTGATGGGTGTCGGAGAGTTTAGGTTTAACTTTTTTTTAAATATATAAATTAGTGTATAATGAATTGTATTATATTATGTTGTAAATTTATGTAATAAATTGTATTAAGTTGTATATTTTATAGAAATTTTATGTTAAAATATGATTGAATATATGCATGAGATCATTAAACTGTGTATTAGTGGATTAATATGTTTATTAAATTGTAAATATGATGTTTTAAACTGTGAATATATCTTTTAAATGATATTTTTTAAATAAATAAAAAAAAGAGAAGATTGAATTTGTCAATGAATAAATCTATCTTTTTTATTAAATTTTTGTGTATTTGGCTGCAAAAATAAAATGGTGTGTATTAAAAAGTATTACCAAATAAATGAGAATTACAATGTTTATTCTATTAAGTTGTGTATACGACCAAAAAATGTCATTAAATTTGGTGTTAGTCCAACGGTGGTCAGACGGTTGTCCTACAACAAGTGGCAACTGGTTGTAAACTAGGGAATATAAAAGTTTGCTTAATATAATGTCAATGTTTGATTTGTCCAAAATTGCCTTAATGAAAACATTTAAAAAATAGTTCTTAGGGTTCTTAACATGCTCAAAATGTTGTGTTTTGCTAACTATCACCTTTTAAGTCTTTTATACTTGTTGCGATTATCGATTGGTGTCAATTTTTGCAACTGTCACACATCTTGCCATGAGCCAAATCATGGTCTTTCCTTGTTATTACCAGGGTCCAAATTCTAGTCTTACATATACGTGGCAAGGATGTAAGTCCCAAAACTATGAATCTTTAAGATATCAATCTTAATTGCTTAAAGAATGCAAAATATTAATCAAGCAATAATTCAAGAACACACAAAAACTACTTCAAATGCACACAATTTTATTATGAATAAATCGTCTGGTACAAGAGAATGCTTTCACAGTCGTTAGACACACAAAATGAACTCCTCAACTTAAAACTCTAAACGGCAGCAACTATATATACTACAAAAAATACAAGGCCTAATAAAAGCCCAAGCCCAACCCCTTAGACCGAAATCAAAAGATGATTTCAGCACACCTAATCCAAACCGAAAACACCATAAGCCTAATAAACAATAATAAAACATAAAACTAGCATAAACCATAATTTAGTCCTAACAATCTCCCCCTTGGTTTATTGTTGGTTTTTCGTCAACTTTTCTTTGCAAGATAAACATCTGATCGAACCATTGTAGTAGCCCATAGCTTTGTCTCAATAATTGGGCTATGAACATCTTCTGTAACTTGGGTTGGTTTTAACGGTTGTAGTTGGCGTTTGTATAAGGTCATAAATCAACACTCCCCGTGAATATTTGCGTTTGTACTTCCTTTACAATAGGGAGGAATCTGATTCTTCTTTCTCACTCTTAGATGGTGATTCTGTGGTTACAGGAACTGTTTGGGTAGGAATCCTCGAAGCTCGATGTAGTTCTTCTATGTGAGCATCCATCTGGTCGGGTGTTGGTATGTCTGACTTCTTGAGTAAATCACTTTCTCTTTTATTCTTAGTCGGTGTAATCATCGCTTCATTGAATAGCACTTTCATTGGTTCAAACACAGGAATGTCTTCATCAATGTCATCTGAAATATCTTTAGTCTTTGTAAACTTTCCATATTTTGACCGCTCCTTTGTTCCTTCAAATGAATTTCTTCATCCAACACATGTACACCTTGAACGATAACCATGACTAAAAAGTCCATGTGGATCACAGATTCATAAAGACCCTTCTCACTACAGTTGTTCAAGGATGTAACCTTGGCTCAAAAATAGACTACTCGCAGTATCTGTGTGAACACAGAGGAACGCACTAAGATTTGTTGAGTTTCGAAGAACTACTCGTGGCTAGTTTTGATGTTAGCCTCTGCATATCCTTGATTAAAGATCTCAATACATTTTTTCAAGTTAACAAGTTAACTTGGCCGTTCGCGAGACGTTCAACGATAATCGTGCCTTGCGAGGTGCGTCAAGAAATTTAACTTGCCATTTATCACTAAATCTCATATCACTTCCCATTAACACGTACAAAAAGAAAACATATTTTTTGGAATTTTTGATTTTATAAATTTTGATTTTTGATTTCTCCCCCTTAATTTGTGCATAGGGAAGAAATGAAATAAAAGTGCACAAATTTAAACACAAAAAAGAAAATTACATACGGAACGAAAATGTAAGTGTTACCTCTGCGTTTAACTCTCTGGAGCAAAAATGACATCTTCAAAGCTTAATACACGGTTACTTACCGTACCCTTTTGAGTGATTTTATTTACTTCTCTCGCAAAGGAAACATATCCTCCATTAATGATTTGAATGTCGTGCAGTAGAGATATGTCTCCTGTCATGTGCTAGGAACAGCCACTATCAACATATCGAAATCTGATGATATTCCTCCATAGCTATTCATGCACAAGTTGCGGGATTAAATAGTTTTGGGAATCCATTCCATTTTAAAACTGGGTTGACCATTACTATCTACTAGGGCTGTAAACGAACTAAACGTTCGGCGAACCGTTCGTGAACTGTTCGGCGGGAAGTTTGTTTATGTTCGTTTATTTAATAAATGAACGAACATGAACAAAAATTATCGTTCGTTTAGTTAAATGAACGAACATGAACAATGGTCTCGTTCGTTCATTTATGTTCGTGAACGTTCGTTTATGATGTTCATTTACGTTCGTTTATGTTCGTTCGTTTAAATTTATTTATATTCATCTATATTCAATTATTTTTTATTATATTGTTATATTATATGTTGGTTTATATTCATATATGTTCAATTGTGTGTTTTTATCTTTGTTCGTTTATGTTCGTTTAGCATGTTCACGAACATAAATGAACGAACATGAACAAAGTGATTTGTTAAACGAACAAACATGAACAAGAAAATCTCGTTCGTATATCTGTTCGTGTTCGTTTGTTGTTCGGCTAACTTAAACGAACGAACATGAACAAGACCTTGTTCGTGTTCGTTTGGTTCGTTTACAGCCCTACTATCTACACATGATACCTTTTCTCAGGACATATCATGTTTATCAGATAAAGAACATGAAGAAATTACAGGACTGTGAGGCGTAACAACCGCCAAATTTAGATCAAAGATGGTCGGTAAATTGGTGTGACACTACTAGGACTAAACTGAATTTACGTTTAGTTAAATGACATTATAACGAGTAATCGATTATAAGCATATTGTTAATAAATTATGTGACATATAACAGTGAGCATAAGGAATTGTCATTGGATGAATGTAATACATATAAAATAATAATAATAATAATAAAGAAATCGTTACATTTCTATAGCAATAGATGTACACGTTCAATATATATATATATATATATATATATATATATATTATATATATATATATATATATATATATATATATATATATATATATATAAACTGGGTGGGATTGTTGCGGATAGATGAAAGAAATATAAAGAATATGTAGGAACATCATAATTATACATATATAAATTATAGAGTGAAATACATGTATTATAATACATGGTGATATATTCGTATTGTAAGATAAAAGCTAGATACATGTATATCTAGATGAATAACAAACCCGATAATACAATTAAATCTAGGATATCAAGTAGTACATGCAAAGCCAGTTGAAAAATTACCCCTTCACCTCCTGATCGAACATCATTCTTTGATTCATAACTCACACGTGCATAGTTGAGAATAATAGACATGTACTCATCAAACATCTTCCAAAGATCACGAAGTACTAATATTCTCTTCTAAAGTTCTCACCCTTCTGTATGGAAATTACAATTGACTGCCCACAAATTTAATACCCTCCTTATGTATCTCTAATATATTTCAGCAATAATTCATAGAATTTCCCACAAGGTGATATCTTTAGAAATTACTTTAGGAGTACTTCCATATCTTCCTTGATCTCAAATGGTACCATGAATCTAACGAGGACCTGATCAAATCTCCCAATATCTGATTCATTTAGAAGCAATATCAACCAGGCCCCACCTCACTCGTCATCCTTCCTTCTCACAATTTTCCTTAAGATACACACACACAAACACAAATTCTGCACATGTACAAAATCTTGCATATATCTCATCGTACAATCAGATATCTTGCATGATCCACAGCTGTAAAGGTGATTTGGAGAAGCTTCACAGCTATCTAACTCATTATTGAAGTCTTTCACTCGTCTCTCCTATCATCTACCCATGTTCCTCACTTCCGTGTTCTCTCAAATAAACAGAGGAGGAGTCCAGCAGCAATTGAAGTCGATTTCCACCTCCAACCCAGCCCTTTTATTCCTTTTATCTCCAATGGCAAACCAACTCAAATACCTCCTGATCACCAACGATTCCAGTTGAAGCAAACCCCTAACCATAAACAGGCATGCAGGCGCAGCTTACCAGAGAAGAAGAAGCAGCGACTACTTCCATTTTTCCCTCATGCCTGTTAGAAAATTAGGGTATGGAAAGACTTGCTGCTGCTCCTACTCATCTTGTCCCTGATTCTCCATCAATCTCAGGTAATTCTCTACCTCCTCTGATCAAAATTCCTCCAGCAACCACCGTGAACTGTAGGCACCTGCCATGGTGGCCGGTGGCCTGAATAGTTCCAACCGGACGATCCCGGTGGTGGGTTTGGTCCTAGTCAGGTGTGTATAGTTCCTGATTCCATTATTTTTCTGCCATGTGATGTTTAGGTCAACTCCAAGATTCCCGTTCCAGATCCTGCTTAGAACAGGAGCTTCCCGACACTTCCGACTCTCGAAACAACGTGAGTTCTATGGCCCCTCATTTCTGATTTCATTGTTTGGGGGAGAATACATGTTTTGTTGGTCAATATTTGATAACCAAAATGGTTTAAAACAAACGATTTTGGATTATATAAATTGCTATAGATGGTGTATGAATACGTATGAAGAGAGTTGACGAATTAATATGTCATTGAGTTTTGAAACCATGGTTATAAACAAGTGCAGGAAATGTAAATACATATATATAAATATTCCGTGTAGCTTTTCTGAAAATTTATGATAACTAAAGCGATATAAATACTTATGCAAAAGTATATATATGAAAAGGAAATAAACTTAAAAATACACCCGGAGGATTAAATGGTCATAGTTATATTATACTAATACATTATAATTTCTAATATGTGTAATAACTATTAAGGACTTTGGATCGTATTAAAACAATAATCATGTTAAACTTAACATGATGTAAACTTTAGTGAATAATTATATATAGACATCAGTTTTAGTAAATTATGGAGTTAACCCTAGTATGTTAAAGGTTAATGTGGTTTGGTTACATCATAAAAGTTCGGTATAAAAGTCGTTAGAAATGAATATTCCAAAATTATTCCAAAATTTGAACGTATTAAAAATAACCTCGCACGGGTTATATAAAATATGGGGAATGTAGATTCCCGGTCTATCCAAACTTGGATAAATAAAAAAATTAACTATTATGTTAACACGATATCAAATTCGTATCTGGAATAATAAATTCTTGTAGTTTTAAGAATTCGGAGTATCATTTTCTTAAATGGCGAATAACTTTACGTTTCTAGTGAATCTAGAATGAACAACATAGGTTTATTATACCTATTGTTTGTGGGTTTATTATATCCATTCCACATAGGTTCGTTATACCTATTCTTTGTGGGTTTATCATACCTATTCTTTGAGGGTTTATTATACCCATTCCAAATAGGTTCATCATACCTATTCCGAATACCGAACCCAATCCGTTCGAGTATTCATATCCGGTTTCGCAAATGCTAAGTTCACAATACTTAGTAGATACCTTCCGTCAAATAACCGTTAATCATCGAGGGAACTACTAACGATAGGTATAAGTGTCATAACATTGATCTTATACGGCACGACCGCCCGCCTGGAGTTGCTAGCTACAACTACGTCTGACGAGATGAATTTTGGCGTTGGCGTTAGCATTATCGAACATTACCCTGTGTTACAACGGGGTGAATGACTTTAGCACGCGCGCCCTATCATGGTGTTGGTGCAATAATAAAGTTTAGTGTCAAGAGTTCGGTTATGACATCATCTAATATTCCTTTCGTTCTTAAATCAATAAAAAACGACCACTGATAATATAATTATCATATGGTAAATTGACAAATAGAGACTCATTTACTACTAAGTTGGTTCAACCTATGCAACAGTAAAATAATCATTTCTTGGTAAAAAAAATTGTCAAATTATGTTTTGAAAAGGGTAAAGGTTTCTATCTATATATTAAATTCTTTTTTTTATATAATTTTTTTTATTATTTTAAGAATATATGGAATCAAAACCTGTAGGACTCACCACCATTATTGCTGACGTATTTTAGTATTCTCAGGAAATAAAGGCAAGAAATCCACGTGAGGAGTATGGAATCATCATCTTATGTTTTATTTTTTTTTTAAATTATGTTTTATGTACTCTTTTTGAATCATTGAAGATTTGTCATGAAACATGTAACCAAGTAAGATATAATTATGTCGTATGTGTAACGCCCCGTTTATTTAAATAAATTAATAAAAATAAGTCTCGGACTAATTTGTGGAGAATTTTAGAAGTCGGAGATTAAAATTGTCAGTTCTGGAAAGTCTTGTAAGTATTTATGAAGGTAAGAACAACGTGGTAAATTATCGAGACTTAAGATGGATAGATTATGAGAAGCAAGGGTTAAATGGTAATTTTGGACTTCATTGTAAAGAGTTTTGAAAGTTAGGGTTTAATAGGTAAACAAATAAGGGTGGAGGGGCTGAAGTTGAATAATTCGATCACAAGTTTAAAATGGATACGGGATGAACCCGTCACTTTGATCCTCCCGTTATTTAGGAGGCATGAAACCCTAAGCCTACAAAAGAATGTTCCAGCCGTCGGCCACCACTCCCGTTTCCCTCTCGTTCACCGATCGAAGAAGTGTTAATCGACCGCCGCTTACATCTCAGGTCCGCTTGCCGACTACTACACTGCCGATGAAGGTCGCCTTGCGACGTCCGCTGCCAGAAGTGTCGGGGCCGCTAGAGAACCATCGAGAACCAGAGACAAATCCGTTGCTCGTCGTGGGTGGGTGGTGAGCCACCAGAAACTCTCGGTTAGTCCTCTGCAAACCACCCTCTTCTCTCTCTTTCATTGTATTATGTGTGTACGACACCGGAAGCGTTATTGTCGACGTCAGTGGCCATGGGGCCGCAGTGTGCGACTTTCCGATAATAACAACCTCCTTATCAGCTGTTGGGGGCTTGATCTCGAGTCATTTCGTGTATGTGTTGCTGCCATAGTTTGTTTGTGTAAGCTCGAACCTAGAAAACCATCGCCACCACCTCATGATGGTGGCTGCTGCCGTGTTCTGCTGCCCATTTCCACCACCAGCCACCGTAATAGGTGGCTTTGTGTGTGTTTATTGTTAATTGTGAAGAAGTATGTGTGTTTTTGAGCAGGAACCACCACCACCATTGGAAATCGTAGCTATCGCTGCAGTGTCGCTGTTGTTGCTATCGGACCTCCGCACGCCGCCGTGGAGTGGGTGATCGTTTGCATTCCCGAGTAGGAGGCATATTTTGTGGTTGTGTTTCTTTTGTTAGAGTGTGTTTTGTGTAGCCGAAATTTCCAAGATTAGCCACTGCCAACACCGTGAGGTGGTGGCTGCCGCCAAGCACTGCTACCGGCTACCATGGTGTGTGTGTGACTAGTTTATTGTGTGTGTATGGGTAATTGAGATTAGCTTTGTAAAATGTAACTTGAATTTTGGATTAATGAAAAGAATCAAAACCACCACCGTAAGGTGGTGACCGTCGCCGTAAGCCGCCATAGACCACCACTACCCGAGGTGGTAGTGGATGGTGCCTCACTAGCAAACCCTAATGGGCTTAGAGATCGATGTTGGGCCTATTGGGCCATGTTTGGGTGGAAAATCCTAATTATGAGTATTTAGGCCTTGGACTTATTTGGACCCACTTTTGGGCTATTTGGATTGGATTGTGAATTAAGCCCAAATTATTCCATGCCATTTATATAGTAAAGTAAATGAATTAATGGATCAAGTCCTTAATGGACTAATTGAGAAAAATCCTAATATTTGAGAATTTTTCAGGACATAAACGAGACTTAATTAATAAGTGAAATATTAAATAACAATCATTGGTAGAAATTAATCTAAGCAATAATAGACTTAATGGATTAAGTCCTTAACGGATTAAGTACTTAGTGGGATAAGCCCTTAATGGGTTAAGTGAGAAACAGTTAACCCTAATTGTCATTTTATGTGAAACCCTAATTTCACTTGGGCTTTGTGTTGGGCCATCCAAGAATAATTAAATGGACTAGAGTAATTAGTTGGGGTTTAGGGTAAGGCCCATATGAAGGATTGGGCCCAATTTGGAAAATTGGGCCATAGTTGGGGCCTAGATGGTTGTATGATGTTGGGCCCTTAGAATGAGACATGTTGGACTGGATTGGACAATTAGGCGTTAAGGGAAGTCCATGTAGAGGTTTGGGCCCAATTTGGAAAATTGGGCCATATGTTGGGCTTTGATCCCTAGTTGACCTTAGGCCTATGGATTGGGCCTTGGGCTTGGGTAAGACAAGCTAGGGGTAATGTAGTAATTATCCAAAGCATGTATTTATAGTTATGTGTTAGAACCCAATTATTAATTGGGTGTTATTTTGGTGTTGACAGTTTGGGAATCTGTTATCCAGCAGCTGGGGTTGAGTCTGCGGGACTTCATCAGTGTGGGAATTGTGTCTACGGGACTTCAGCAGTGTGAGGTGAGTTTCCTTCCAGTAGGAACGGGTCTAAGTTCACAATGCCAGCCCGTTTAATTAGCAGTAGTTCCGGACTCCAGTCCGATGCAGTAGTTCATTATGCTTGGTGTCTTTGTGATATAGATGAGTTATGTGTTCCGGACTCTATTCTGATGCAGTATGCACTATATATATTCATGCTAGTTGATATGTTTATGATATGCAATGTTTTCGGACTTCGGTCCGATGCAGGGGACGGGGTCCCAATCAGTTCCGGACTTTGGTCCGATGCAGTTAGTTCCGGACTTCGGGTCCGATGCAGTTAGTTCCGGACTTCGGTCCGATGCAGGGGACGAGGTCCCAGTCAGTTCCGGACTTCGGTCCGATGCAGTGGGCAAGGCCCAATATGTGTTTATATGTTATTGTATGGTATGTGGTAGTTTGGGGGAGCTCACTAAGCTTCGTGCTTACAGTTTCAGTTTTGGTTTCAGGTACTCAGTTTTCAAAAAAGGAGCTCGGGAAGATTGCAGTGCACACACCATTTGTTCAGCCCGGGATGTTTATACTCTGATATGTTTGACAATTGTTATGATATTTTGATATACATTGTTTATGATTCTTATATGACGTTGATGAATATGGTCTTATTACTGATTTAAAACGAAATTTTCAGACTGTATTTTTGGGATGTTACAGTATGTGATGTAAAACTTTAAGTGGTTGTTTAATGTTTAATATATGCTATGTTTGTGATATTCGATTTTCGTCACTCGCCCAACAATTCTGCCGTCGGCTGGGGTGTGACATGAGGTGATTGTGCTGTAGCACTTTTGGGCGCCCATCAGTAATTAGGTTTGAGCCTTTTATTGTTTAACTAGATAGGAGCTTCACCACTTGATTTTGAAATAGGACTACCCTTTGATTTAGGTTTATGTTTCAAGTGTGAGCTAGTGGACTGTCTTTGCGATGAATTCGACCTCACCGATTTCGGTTTGGCTGAACCATCTCTCAAATTAGGCTTCTTGTCCGACATGCACTTTTTGTTCTTGGAGGTCTGATTCTTGTCCTTTTTAGCATTCCAATCACCATCAATGGAACGTGACCTCGAAGAATTTCTTTTAAAATATCTTCCTCTTGATACGTTCTGCCTTCCTTGTGCATAGTAGGGAACATATGCATGATTTGGAAAAATTCTAGCAATGTGTCCAAGTGTTCCACAGTGGAAACATGTCTGTTTCTTCATGTAGAAATTGTTTCCGCCTGTCCCTGGTAGTGTGTCAATGCCTTGTCTCTGATTGTTCCCACAAGCACACTTACAGCAAGCAGTCAGTTTCGCTTGTTTTGGTGGCTCTTATTTACCAAGAGTAGGTTTATTAGAAGTAACATAATTAGAAGCAACAGATTCAGAGTTTAAAGAGACATTGATTAGACAATCATCAGAATTAACAGAACTAGAATTATTTTGGTTCTCTTTGTTCTCATTTTCCACTACCTTACCTGCATATGAAGTAGAAGCATTAGTATCGCTCACATCAATATTCTTAGTTGGGCCAGATTGTTCAGTCTTAACTGAAGCTGATACAGGGGGCTGGCCATACTGAGCAGGTATCTAAACCTTGTTAGTTTCAAGGGGTGGGGTATAGTTATCATTGAAAGGAGGTGGAACACTGTGATACCCTAGACTCTTATTCTGATTATCTTTAAATTTCAACTATTTTTCTATCATGGACACAACTGCCGCACTTGACACGTCAAATTTCTTAAAGTTAAATTCAACATCTTTAAATTTAGTTTTCAATGCGTCAAGTTCGACAATTAATTTGGCAATTTTCTCTTTAGCATAATCATAGTGTTCACATTTAAAGCTATATTCTTCTTGAAGTTTTCTAAAGTTCTTGGTTTTGGCCTCTAATTGTTCTTTCAAGGGTTTTTGGGCATTCATAAGAGTATATCATTCATATTTAAGGTCCTCGATATCCCTAATTAATAACTCATTATGTTCACGTTATTTATTTATTTTGTCTTCACAGGATTGAGAACATGATGCTTTACTTATCTTTTTTGTGGTAGACTCCATTTGAATAATAAATAAAAAGATTGGCCAATAACACGGAATGTTAAATAAATTTGTTGACCGAGAACTCCAAGAATCAACAAAAACTTGTTGACCGAAAGCTCAAAAGTTTGACCGGAAAGTTGATCGAGATTTGAATTGAAATCAATAAAAATGGGCCGACAACAACAAAATCAAATTCTGAGCCGAAATCAAAATTTTAAAATGCGCCGAAAACATAATTGTTGACCCAAGTGTTGATTATTAAAATTAAAACCGAAATGGTAAAACAAAATTTGCATAAATTGAAAATTGAAAACTTAAATTAAAAAAATTGATAAATAAAAAATCACAAATAAAACAAAATTGGACTTTGATTTCAGTCAACAATATGGCTGAAATCAATATCCCGCCTCCCCTTTTTTTACGACCGAAATCAATACTCCCTTTTTTCTTAAACTTAAAAAATTAAGGGACTATAGCATTAAATGATTTCACTTGATAATGTTCCAAATTTAATCCCGACGAATCATAAGAATATGCCCAAAATTCACGATGAACACGAAGAACACCCAAGAACAGTTTCACTAAGAATAAAAAAAAATTATCAATTCAACTAAAAATTTCGATTAAATCAATAATCCAAAACAAAAAAATAATGAGCCCAAGGTCCTTGAATCGATTGATACCCTTTAAAGCTCTGATACAAATTGTAAGTCCCAAAACTATGAATCTTTACGATATCAATCTTAATTGCCTAAAGAAAGCGGAATATTAATCAAGCAATAATTCAAGAACACACAAAAACTACTTCAAATGCACACGATTTTATTATCAGTAAATCGTCTGGTACAAGAGAGTACTTTCACAGCTGTTACACATACAAAATGAACTCGTCAACCTAAAACTCTAAATGGTAGCAACTATATATACGACCAAAATACAAGGCCTAATAAAATCCCAAGCACGTCCCCTTAGACCGAAATCAAAAGATGATTTCGGTCCACCTAATCCAAACCAAAAACACCATAAGCCCAATAAACAATAATAAAGCATAAAACTAGCATAAACCACAATTTAGTCCTAACAAGGTTACAAGGGACCAGATTCCAGTCTTTCACACAGTTATCAAGGGGCCAAATGCTGCTCTTTCATACAATTTCTAGTGGCCAAATCCTAATCTTTTATATAATTTCCAGGGGTTAGATCCTAGTCTTTCATACAATTCATAAAGTCATATATAGTCAGGGATCAAATAGACAATCAAACAGATGATCCACTAGAGTGCGAACAATCAGACAAGAACATCACAATAAGGCATTAGACTAAGAGTTCTTAGGCTATCCAATTTAAACTACATAGAACAAAAGATATCATTACCACATAATCATGTAACATAAAATACATAACATATACTAACATATTGCATACCCTTGGCAACCAGCCTTCCATAGTTACCATGTCATTGTTCATTTTGTTGGATTAGTGTCTAAGTCCATAACTATTTTGGTATGTACTTGACCCGATGGTGCATGGTCCTTTTGGGTTGCCTTCACCCAAGCAACTTGATAGGATGCATTATGGAGAGAAAGGATTAAATATGATTTATTAATATATTATGAGAATAATATATTAAAGGAGAAATCATATTGTTTAATTAATATTAGTCAATAATTAATTTGTAATTAGTTTTGTGACTAAAAGAGATTAATTAAACTTAAGGGACTGGAATTGTAATTATAAGATAATTGCAATTTGGTCCATGGACCGCCTTGTATTATTAGGTGGACGAATTCTATGGGGGAAGCCCATATGAAATCGTCCAAGGCCTTGAGGAAAGGGCTCCATGGGTTGCTT